CTATTTAGTTTGGTGAAACATAGGATTATATAGTTTTGTTCCTTAGAATTAAATATGCCTCCACATTTTTTTATATAGGGAATGGAATCTCATCATTTTTTTTTAATACAAGCTCATATGTTTCCTTCTCCTTTCCTAGGATGTCACTGATATTGTTTACTTACGAAGTTTGACATAAAAAAAAAAAAAAAGGAACATTCACATTCACATTCACAGACACTGAATATTATATATATTTCGATTCCCATTCCAACAACCATGTGCAGAGGAAGGCAGTAGAGCAAGCAATGAAATTGGTGCATAACCCAAGTTTCGATTCTTGAGAAGAGATGGTTTGAAACTTTGACTTCCAAGCCACTTGGATCATCTCTCTATGGAGCTAGGGTTCTTCAATTTCCGAGTTTTAAGAAGTTATATTCGTTTATTTAACACTAAGCACATCTTAATTTCTATTTCTACCGTCTACCTCATGTTTGGGAAGCTAAGAAAACATGCACCTTGCTCATTTCTCAACAATTTTCTCAAAAATGAAACTACTGTCACTTATAAGTTTATATTATCTATAATTCATGAAGTTTTGGTATATCATCAGCTAATCTTCAACACTCTAATTAACCGTAGAATCTTGACATATTTACTTGGGTCTCTCACACTCTGATTGACTTTGATAAAATATGGAATTTCATCCTGCAAGAGAGCAGAGTTTAGGGAGGTGTCCTCAATTTGGATGGCAAGTCGAGCACTTCAATATGATGGAATTAAATAGGTACGTGGGAATTTGTCAATGTGATAAGATTTACTTTAGAAAAATATAATATATATTTTTATATAAAGTTATAAAATATAAAAATAAAAAATCTAAGGTAGTGTCGGCAAAGGAACCTTCTTCCCCTTCTTATTGGAGAAAATAAATGGAGTCGAATCTATGGTAGTGTGTACCAATGCAAATCTGCACTGCAATACCCCAATAAATGTATGCAAATAAGTGTTGATACTCTCTCCATTTCTCTATTGGAGAGACTTTTGAGTCATTCATTATTGTTAGAAAAATCTAATATCTCATCACCCCTACAAAGACATTTAGTGGGCAATCGCGTGCATGCGTAAATATTGCCTGGTCTACTGGGCATTGATTTAGGGTGACATTGGAGTGATTTGGGTAAAGAAAGGATTAGATTCCCAAATTTTATTCAATTTGAAAATTAGAAAGAAAAAAAAAACATGTACAATATTAGTCTATTGACAAGAAATGCTAGGATGAGTTGCTTTCGCTCTAACGAAATTCAGATTACATACTGTCGGTTGTCTAAGAATGCTTTGAATGCAGAGTATCTCAAGTGCATAAATAAATGCTCCTAATCACTTGAGAAACACATACAACGTTATACGAGGAATGATACAATTAGCAAAATACATAATGTATGCATTGACACATATGAGAATGCCTTGAAATGCATACAGAGTACCCGTTAGTAGATAGATATGTCACATCCTGACTTGGGCTCCACCACATATTGGGCTCGACTTTGCCGTAGCAGGCTATTATTCATTTTAGGCCTCGGCTACGCCCTCACGGTTTTGTTTCTGGGAACTCACACGAGAACTTCCCAATAGTGGGTCACCCATCATGGGATTGCTCTTACTCGAATTCGCTTAACTTCGGAGTTTCGATGGAATCCGAAGCCAGTGAGCTCCCAAAAGGTCTCGTGCTATATGGAGGTGGGCATGTACATATAAGGCACATCATTGCCTCTCCGTTGGTCGATGTGGGATGTTACAATCCACCCCCCTTAGGGGCCAGACATCCTCGTTGGCACACTCTCACCACATGGCAGAGTAACTTTGATACCATTCTATCACATCCCAGACCGACTCTGTCGTAGCACGATATTGTCCGCTTTGGACTCCGACGACACCCTCACAGTTTTGTTTCTGGGAACTCACACAAGAACTTTCCAGTTGGTCACCCATCTTGGGATTGCTCTCGCCCGAACTCGCTTAACTTCGGAGTTTCGATGGAACCCGAAGCCAGTGAGCTCTCAAAATGCCTCGTACTAAATGGAAGTAGGTATGTACATATAAGGCACATCACCGCCTTTCCGTTGGTTGATGTGGGAGTTATAACTTTCACGTTAGAAACTTGCTATATATGATATCTACTTATTAAGTGATGAACTATAGAGAAATTCTTAGATGTTTCTAACACCACATCATCATGTATCCAAGCAACTAGAAAATTTGACATGTGTTATATTATGGATGCTAATTAAAATTGTTTTACAGCTGCCACTTACTACTACGGTCTAGTATTATTCCTCTTCATTTGTAAATGAGAGGTCTTTGGTTTTATTTTTGCCAAAAATGAGTTCGAACCATATTATTGCTAGCCCATTAGATCATCCCCAATGGGAGCTTTATCCTCCTTGAGGCTATCACATTTGTTAGCTCTAACAAAATATTTCATCCCAATGGGCCGGAAAATGGAGCTACATACACTAAATGGGTTAGCAACTTCAATCCTTGGGTAGTAAAAAGTTAGGCTACATCAAGCCCAAAAAAAGGAGGGGGACCCACACCAAATTGAGGGTCCAATCTTGTTTTTTGTTTGTTTTTAATTTAGAAATGGGTGAGCCCATTTGTAATTCCAAAACATGATTTCAAGGTTTTATTTTTCAACCATTTAGGATATTAGGGTTTTATTTTCAACCATTTGTGTTTGATTAAGAAAACATATACAAAGAACGACTATTTTTTGTGTGATTGATTAGAAAAAAAATGTAGTACTTTGTGCTTAATTTTGTAGATTGAAAAATTCACCAAAAAGTGATGAAATTTAACATTGGTAGTTTAGAGACCTAAACCGAAAATATAAACAAATAACATAACTAAATTGTGATAAGATAATCCAATCCAATGGTTGTTATGAAATGAAATTTTGTTTGATTTCGGAGAATGTGTCAATCAGAGAACTAAACCAACGGATGAGATCGAGAAAAGATAAATCAAATCCAATGGTTGTTATGAAATGAAATCTTAGCTTGTCTGATTTCATAGAAACAAACCAACGGATGAGATTGAGACAAGAGAGCCTACAACAGTGCATAAGTGATGAAATCTAGCTTTATCAAAATTTGAATTTTTTTTAGGTTAAAAAGTTCATAAATTAAAATTTAAGATAACACGTCAAAAAATCAAGTTAAGAAAAGTTAAAACAAAAATAAATTTATCGCATAATCAAATTACTACATGAATAAAATATATAATCTCATATAGAGCCCAGAAGATATATAGCCCATTATTGGGAGATTTTTTTTTTTAGAGCCTCAAAGATTCTTCGGAGCTCTAATTGGGCTATATCCGCCACTTTCTAGCCCTATATAGAGCCTCTCATTGGGGATGCTCTTATGAGGATAAGCTCACCTCTTACTTGGTCTAGACTATATCGTTTGTTAAAAAAAAAAAAAAAAATTGTTTTGCATAAAAAAAAATGGTATTCCATTTTTATCCTCTCAAATATATAAAAATAAATAAAAATTGAAAACTCAATAAGGAAATTGAAGTATATCCAGCAACCCCCTTTTGTCACTGCCCACCGCCACCTCATTTTCTGCCACAGCTACCGCACCTCTCTTTTGTCCATGAACGTTAATCTATTATACAAAACTAAGTGCTGCACTATTTTGGGAGGAGACCCTAGCAATTGGTTGAATCAGATATATACTAAAACTCCTTGACTGCGATTCTGATTTTGATTTCCAGTTCTTGGTCCTCATTTATTCCAAGGTTTGAAAAACCGCATGATATTATGCAAATCACGCGATATCTCGCGTTGCAAAAATGTTTTTTTCTTGTGACGTAGCGCAAAAATATAATGAGATTTCTTGCGAAAAGATTTTTGTTAATGTTTAAGCAGTTAGTTATAAGGGTAAAGTTGTCAATTTATTAACAGAATTTTGACTGAAGGGGTTATATGAAAATGAATTAAAACCTAAATGAATGTTCGTGTAATGTCTCAAACGTGAGAGAATTTTATGAAAACTCAATAAATTCAGGAGATGTTAGCGTAATTAACTCAGACTTTCTACTAACAATTAAAACAATCACTAAATTATAGTGCTAATGGGAGAGTTTGTTATCGATTTGGATTTGAATCATTTTGGAGACTACAAAAAAGCACTACTTGAGAGCACTTTTGAACCCTAACTCTTAACAGCAAATCCATGTTTTAGTCCATTAATCCAGAAAGGCATAAAGCCTTCCGGCCCAGCACAAGGACACGAGCTCAGTTGAAGGCCTTTCTCATTTCTTCGAAAAGAAGTCCAAGTTTCATATTACATATTTGTATGGCAAATTGAGACTTTTAGTAGCTTGCAAATTGTAATTAAGTTTGAATACTTAATTACACTACTCTGATCACGTGACCCCAAACCTAATACTTCCTACAAAAGGACTTCCAGTCAAGGCATTAATCTCTTAGGCTTTTGTTTGGTGTCTAATATTGGAAATGATTAGATAACTCTCCAGTACAATGTAACTTGAATAAAACAATAGATGCCAACTTCCAAATTGTGTCCGAGACTCCAAGTTCAGAGAGATTAGTTATGAGGAAAACTTCTCCCCTCCAAATCTCCACAACAATAGTAGGTTTGGAAGAGTGAAGTTTTCTTCATGACTAATCTCTCTTCTACCTCCAACTTGAACAAAATTTGAAAGTTGACATCCACTTCTCTATTCAAGATACATTGTACTAGATAGTTATTCAATTCATTTCGATTCCAAATACCAAACGAGACGAACCGAATCATTATAATCTAACGACTAAAAGCTCTGCAATCTAAATATATCCCAAAGCACAATAGAATGTTCGACTAGGAATAACTAGTTAGCAAAAGTAAAAGATAAAGCATTGAAGAAAATATATGTATGTGTGTGTGTGCGTGTGTGTGTGTGTGTTAAAACTGCTAATGATCTCAATACAAAACAAAAACCCCTCTCAATAGTGACATCAAAACAAAGCTCCCCTCAAAAATCTCCCAAAGAATTCAACAGAATTGTAATGTGTATAGTTCAAATACAAGTGGTGATCAAGTCCCCATTCAAACCTGGGCTAACAATATTAACATATCAAAAGAAGAAGAAATAACCACAGATATGGTAGAAGAGATCAAATACAAAAAGAAGGCCTGCAGGCAGAGAGAGTGATCATCTCCTCATCTAAAGCATCAAGCTGAGGAGTGCCCACCCAAACACGAAGTTCCCTACCATCTTCTGCATCGACCACATCTTCTCAACTCCACTCTGCATATTAAATAAAATTAATTTTGTCAAAATTCATAAGACAAAATATCTAAAACGCGAGCATCCAACTTAATACCAATTGACAATAGAAGAGAGAGACACAAAATTACTTGGCAACTAAAGCAAAGCTTGCTTTTCTTTTTAACGTGGGACAACTATCGAAGATATAGTTAGTTCAATTGAACGTTTTATTAATCATCGCTTATGTCTGGTGAATCGTTTTTTGTCATTCGTGCTAGTTAGATAAACAATAAATTTAACAAACATAAAAAAAAAAAAAAAAAACCTGACAATCACCCAATTCAAAATGCAATGATCAATACTGTTTGGTTAGTAATAAAAATGATTTGGAAACTTTGAGTTTTAATGACAATGACAAAATAAAGGATAAAATGAATAGTATTAAGATTGACCTTTTAGTATAAAAATGTGATTTTCCGTTAAAGTAAATAATACCTAAAGCTTTTCGTTAAAGTTCCCTTATTTTTTCCATGTCGAAAAAATTTGATTGTTGATGATTGGGTGGTTGTTGGTTGGGAATCCGAATGTCGAGAGAGTCGAGAAGGGGATGTGCCGCTCAACCACAACCACTGCCGAGACAGGGTGGAGACAAGGAGAGAGTTGAAAGGACGATTTCGGGTGGCGTTCCTCTTGGGCGGTGCAGTTGGCGGCGAGGAAGGGGGTGATGGAGCCGCGGAGGGAGAGGTTGGTGATGGAGTCTAGGAGAGCTTGTAAATGTGGCTGGGGAGATAAGGAAGAAAGAAGAGGGAGAAATAAAGGAAGGAAGAAGGGGAGATAAGGAAGATGCGGGCCAGGGGAAGGAATTGGGCTTCAAGTTCGGCTTTGGGCCTAAAATTGTTAATGGTCTTGAAATTGAGCTTCAAAAATGAATACCCAATACAAATAAATAAATCAAATCAGTATATATTCAATTCGATTCGGTTTGGTTCGTTTCACTTCGATTTTGAATCATTGAAATGAAAACCGAACCAAAAAATTTTGATTGGGTTTGATTTTTTTTTAAGTTCGGTTTTTTACGACTTCAATTTGGTATTCAGTCCTTTTTCCTTTTTGTTTTCGAACCCACTCATAACCATCACACCTCAATTTAGAGATTATAGATGGGATTTTGAATTAGGGATTTGGGCGGATGAACTGAAAAAAATCGAAGAGAAGGAAAAATTAGATGTGACATTCTAATCAATTTGGTCTTGTTCATTATTATAGCCTTGGGCATGGAGATGTTGTGGGTTAGTGTTGGGTTCGCCTTTGTTGGGGAGGAGATGAGAAGAATTAGGAGTCAGCAGCGGACGGATCAGCTCAGATTTTACCTCAACCCATTAGTCGATCAAGGGGTGTTGGTTTGACAATCATCCAAACCATTGCCAGGAAAATAGGTTGACCAAAAAAGAAACTCAAGTGGTAGATAATTGACATATGCGGACAGGTTAAGTTGTAATGTGTTGTTAATGTTGAAAACCAACTTCAACTGCTCCCTTCAACGGGTGGGCAGGTAATGCCCCTTGTTTCAATTTTTAAGACTGTAAAACTAACCCGGTTTAACTTGTCACGATTTGGGTCGGTCGGTTTTGGCGGGTGACCCATGAAAAGTGCTCACCCCTACCGAAGAATAACTTAGTTTGGGTGGAGAAGAAAAGTCAGAGGAAGAGGCTGAAGGCACTTTTACTTGTTGCCAATGACTGCATGCAGTGGCTCATAGGGTTGAATCGGTGTATGTTTAGTAAATGTTGGTTTATGAGATCAAGAGAGCAGAGAAGGGGTGCGTGTTCATGAAGGATATCAATCAAAATGATGAAACGTGAGGGGAAACAGGGCTGCAGGTCTACTGTCCCAATTTTGGTGTCTCATTTATGTCTCATTCTTATTTGATTGACATGTGTCCATTCTAGTAACTCGAAACTAACATTGTTAACTTTTATTATATTAAAATAAAAAACTAACATAAAATAAAAGATACAAAAACCCAAAAATTCCTAAGTCAACATCTTTTTCCCCTCCTACTCCCTCTTCACCACTGGAACCGTGATGACGATCTTTTCACTTTTTGGTTTTGGGGCTTTCGCTTTCTTGGTTTTAGCACTTTATTCCCTACATTCTCTCATCTAGAACGAACCAATCAAATCTAGCAATGGAAAACCCTAATGTTTTCTTTGAAATGACGATCGAAAACCAACTGGTCGACCGTATCATGATGGAGCATTTCGCTTACACCACCCCTTACACCACCAAAAACTTTGGGGCTCTCTGCATAGGAGAGAAAGGCATCAGTTGCGCTGACAAGACCATACACTACAAAGGATCTGCCTTCCACTATGGTATCCCTAGGCTCATGTGCTAGGGAGGCAGTTTCTTCACCGGAAAATGGCACCGGAGATGACTCGATCTACGATGCCAAGTTCGCTAACGAACACCAGACCTGAAATCTTGTCCATGGCCAATGCCAGTCCTAGAATGCTAAAAGATCAAAACCCCATCACCGCTCTAGTGGTGACGAGATAGTAAAAGGGGAAGGTTTTGGATCCGCTTCGAACCTTAATGTCTGGAGCCTCCTCATCCACAAATATGGGCCGCTGATTGGTGTGCAAGTCAAATTAGGGTCATTGGTTGTGTTTGGTGGCCAGGAATATGAATTAAAGGAAACCGTTGGATTCAATTTGTGTAGCCCAGATTAATGGATGGGGAGGCTCCGAATATTAAGGTCCGGAGCGGATCTAAATCCGAAGGGGAATATGATAATGAGATGGAATTTCTAGGTTTTTCATCATTTATTTTATGTTTAGTTTGTTTATTTTAATATAGTAAAAGTTAACAATGTTAGTTTTGAGTTAATAGAATGGACACATGTCAATCATATAAGGAGACATAAACGAGACACCAAAATTGGGATAGCATATCCATAACTGGAAAACAAGGCTTTTTATGGTTTATTATTATTTTACAAAAAAGTAGAAGACTTAACAAAGTTAACCACTATTAATTGAATAAAACAAGATACGAGGTTGGGCAGAGGAAGGTTGGGCACAGTAGATCAGAGCCCTGGCACTAAACCGTTGACTGGACTTGTGTTGCCACGTGGTAGCAACACATAGTCCTATTAGAAACATTTAAAGTCAAACTATCGGCTGATGTTAGAAAGATCCCACGATTTTTAAACAATACGCCATTTGGATAATCAACTTGAGACATGTTAAATTTTATTTTTATAGCTAATGTGGTAAAATAATAATTTGTAAGTATCTTATTACAGTTGAAATATCAAATTAAAATGTTTTTTTAATTATTTAGAAAATCAAGTAGGCGAAAATATGTGGTCTTAACATTAAAATAAAACCAAAAAAAAAAAAAAATGGAACATTGCTTTCAAATTTGGTGGTAACGTGAAGAATGTCAATTTATATAAAATTTGGCTCTAAAAAAAAACCAAAAAAAAAAAAAAAAAATCAGAAAAACACTTTTTTGTCAAAATAGTGCACATGTAAGAGAGATTTGTCAACTTAACCGGCACACGAGGTGGTACATCATGTGTCATTATACAAATTGTAGAATATATGTATTAAAAGGTTAATAAGTTAAAAAATAAAATTTTCTATCATTTACGTAAAAACACGTGATGTATCTTCTCATGTGCTTTTGGAATTTGAGAAGCTTTTAAAAATTTCTCCGCACTTAGAATTTTAACTTTTGCATTTTGAGATGCTTTGAGAAATGTAAACAAACTGGAATGGGACTGAACGCTCACATCCGTACGGCAGCGTACGTTAGAGAATGACCATTGTCTCTAAAATGGAAAGTAAATAAAAGCGCGAAAAGTACCTGATCATCTGACGATGATGGTCCCGGAGCACCGGCCTCCAGGGTCGGCGTAGGAGCTCCGACTGGTGGCGCCGGTGGTCCTGGGGCCAGTGCGAGCGGAGAAGGCGCCAAGGCTGGAGATGTCACGGCGGGAGCTGGAGCTGGTACCTGAGCTGGAGGAGACGCAAGAGGGGCCGGTGGTGGTGTTGCTGGTGGCGGAGTGGCTGGTGGTGGAGTGGCCGGTGGTGGAGTTGCAGGTGGAGGAGTGGTGGGTGGGGGGGTCGCTGGAGGTGGAGTTGCGGGTGGAGGAGAGCTGACTGGAGGCGGGGTGGCCGGCGGGGGTGCAGAGACAGGGGGAGGAGTTGATGGAGGTGGAGACGTGGTAACTGGGGGCGGTGAGGTGGCAACGGGAGGCGGAGCTGACGTGGGAGGAGGGGTGGCGGTGGGAGGTGGAGTGCTGGCGGGAGGAGAGGGTGGTGGCTGGTTGTTGGGTGTAGCGGGGGGAGCAGGAGTGGTGGTGGGTGAGGTGGCGGGGGGAGATTGGCCTCCGACACCGGCGAAGACAATGCAGATAAAACCTAGGAAGAACAGACTCTTGCGATCCATATCTGACCTCTCTGTGTGATTAAGAGAGAGAGAGAGAGAGTGAGTCGACTCGGTCGAGTTATGCAGTTTTGGGTTTAGAGTGAGAGAGACACAGGGCAATTGGAACTGGTTAAATAGGCCCTTCTCGTTATTAGCATGAGCAACTATTAGCTGGTTCGAGCCTCCGTTGGCTTAATTGCAACCTTAAGGGGGGATTTATATCCACGCGGTGCTGCCAAACGCATCTGGACCGTTAGATCTGGGTGTTTTGGGTGCGTTTTACGTTTTTTACATTTTTCAGCCCTTCCGGTTTCGGTTGGTTGAGGTAAAAACAGAGGCACTCAAGTCTCGTGGTGTAGTAGGACCATATACATGTTTGCTTAAATACTAATCTTCGTTTTGTTCATTTGCAATTGCAATACCACATGTGGCATATCATATGACAACTTATACATGTCTTTTATAAATGCATTATTGGGTGATTCAACATTTCTCAAAATTTCACTCTTTAAGTTTTCAACCAAATTTCGATCATTTCATTAGAGGACCATCGATATTGATATTTTTGTAAAATTGGTATTTAAAACTTTGGTAGCGACCCTAACTCCAACCTCCACCACCTCTCTTCATTAGTTGTGTATACACTATTTTTGTTCTCTCCCTCGTCATGATTAATCGTGTAACGAGAAAAATAAAGAAATGAAGTATGGGTAATGAGAGTTTCTCTCCACGGACCTAGTTTTGTGGAAATAGATTGAAGAAGATATGGTGGTTGTGATGTATCTTATGTATCAACAAGTGTGGTAGGATATCACAACTACTATATCATCTTCTTCTTTTTAAATTTTATTTCTACTTTTTAAAGAAGAATACTAGAGAGATCAAATTTTTTAAACCAACTTTGTAAACCAAATGATGTGATTATTGATGATTAGATTATTACTTTAATGTTGATTAACGTGCTTATTTTTTATTAGTGACGTATCATTGGATTTGCAAATATGATTTAAAATTTTGATCTCTCTAACATACTTTTTTTTAAAATAAGTACAATAGCTTTGTTGAATTTTGATAATATTTTTTTTGTTCATCGTGACCCTGGTTGGGTTTAGAATAATCTTCGAACTCATTCAAATTATACTCATAACTCTACGTAGACACTTTTGATTCACATATACGATCATCCTATACACTATTATCTCATTATTTACAAAATTCTTAAATTCTACCTGCATTTTCATTGGCAACTGATAAAAAGTGAGTTATTTGGTATGTTCCCACCATAGCATGCTATCACTTGAAGAATAGAGTTGATCTCCATGTGATTGAATTATTGTTGTAGTGCATGGTGGATGGACACTAATAAGGTAGTTAGCCACTTAACCTTATGCATGATTACCGTTGAGGAGTATCAATGAACATTATGACGAGTGGGCCTGGACTTATTTTTTATATGTGGCGTGATCCACACAAAATGAAAATATTTTTGTGCATCACCTTTAAGTGATGGTAATATTTATCATCTTATTTATTACAGTTAGATAAGTTTAATTTCAAAATATGTGTAGTAGATAGACATAAATATCAAAATTTAAATCCATCTAAGAATAATAAATATGAAAAATAATGAAAAGGGCTTCAAATGTTTACATTTTAATCAAAAACCACCTACTAACTTTATTTAATAATAAGGACAAAAGAATAATTTGAAGAAAAAAAAAAAAAAAAAACCCAACTTACGTTGGGCGTGTACCCCACCCCCCCTCTCCCCTCCCCTTCCCTCCTTCCCGTCCACACTTCACTTTTTTCTCCCAATTTTTTCTCCCATTGTTAGCTACATTAATAGATTTCTTTTTTTATTTATCTAAATAGTCACTTTTGGGTTCATCGTTTTAGGTGCAATGGATGCTTTTACAAGACTAAAAAGGGTGTAAATTTCGAACCTTATGAAACTGAACCAAGAATTAAACATTATTTATAAAACTTCACCAATAAGTAGATACTATTCACGAAACTAGACCAATAGGTAGACACTATTTATGAAACGAAGACAAGAATCAGGCATTATTTCTAAAACTAAACCAATTGGTGGAAACTAAACTGGATTATACACTATTTATGAAACTAGAGTAAGAACTAGATAATATTTATGAAACATGACCAAGAGTTAGGCACCATTTATGAAAGTGGACCAATAACTAGACACTATTTATGAAACCGGACAAAGAAAGAGACACTATTTATAAAACTGTACCGATCACTAGACATTATTTATGAAACTAGATCCAATAACTAGGCGCTATTTATGAAACATGATCAAGAGCTAGACACTAGTTATGAAAGTGGACAAAAAACTAGACTCTATTTATGAAATTGGACCAACAAATAGTATAGTACCATTCAGTTTCATAAATAGTGTTCAGTTTCATAAACAGTGTACATGTCCCGAGCATCAATTCTTTTTTTAAAAAAAAAAATTGTGTCATTTTCATTAAAATTTAAGTTTTTTTTTGTCCTTTTTATTAAAATTGAAGCATTTTTCATTAAAATTTAATTCTTTTTTATTAAATACAGTTATGGCATAATTTTTTGTTAAAATAAACTTAATCCAAACCCTTTTCATAAACGTTTCTATAATAAATAAGATAGTGAACATTATCACACTTGAGAGTGGTGAGCACGAACACTTGTGATTTTTAGGCTAAGTATTTGGCAATTACATACGAGCTCAACGTCCAAATCATCAAGTTGCGGATCCTTAGGACTACGATCTGTCACCGCGTGATCAGTGCCTTCAACTGCAATCTTACTACTATAGTCTACAACTAGCTGATTATTATTATTAGGCTTTTTAGTTAAAATTGTGTTGAGATTTAGCATAACTCTTCAATGTCATTCTTGATGACAATGAAAATTGATGAAAGTGGGTTCTTTGAGTTTGTCCACGTGGTCATTCACATAACAATTTAACGATGATATTTAATAGATTTTTTACGAAAATGTCAAAATGATAAACGGTGGATAAATCTAGGGACCACTTCTATCTATTTCATTGCCAGAGACTAAGATGAAAAATTATGATAATCTCAGATACCGTTTTAGCCACACACAAAAAAAACATTATTATTAAGAGAGTAATTATTTGAAAGTGAAAAATTATGAAATAATAATATATATCGATAAGTAACTATGGCCGCGATGAATGTGCAAATCTAAAACATGTCTACACTCTACACACAAATTTGTATGTAGTAGTACTTTTTGCTTTGCTATATGTAAGTACGTTAAATCCAAAGAGAAACCTCGTATTAATGGTTTGAAAAAGGGGCTTTTAAATTTTAGGGTTTAAATAAGATTATTTTTAGATTTTAAAATGAATGGTTTTTTTTTTTTTTTTTTTTTTTTTTTTTTTTAAATCTAATCTATGTCTCTATTCTTAAAACTTTCCATATTTACGTAATTATAGCACATTTATTCTTTATCAACTTACAATATCGAATTTATTCAAAATTCAAATTTTTATATTTAACAAAAGTTAACAACAAAAAATTTATATTTGAAAAAAAAACATAGGTACAGAAGCATTAGTACGTAAGTTTCAATCCAAATGTATCGGTATAAATGCATTGGTACATAAGTTTCGAAACGAATGTATCATACATATATAAGTTTCGATATGAATGTGTTGGTATGTAACTATAATATCTTAACATACAAAGGTGCTTAAAATGCATATACATATATATAGAGAAATTCAAGTACAATGAAAAGTAAACGAGAATATATGTCTTTTCTTAGTATGGGAACTTAATTATAATTATCAATGATAAATAACATTTTTATGGTTTATAGGAATCCATATATAACCTACACACAAAAAACTCAATACTTATTTGTCACATCCTGGCCCGGGCCCCCACCACAACATCCCGGGCTCGATTCTACCGTAGCACGATATTGTCCGCTTTGGGCCCTTACCACACCCTCACGGTTTTGTTTCTGGGAACTCACACGAGAACTTTCCAGTGGGTCACCTATCCTGGGATTGCTCCTGTGCGAATTCGCTTAACTTCGGAGTTCCTACGGAACTCGAAGCCAGTGAGCTCCCAAAAAGCCTCGTGCTAGGTAGAGATGAGAATATACATATAAGGCTTACAAGATTCACTCCCCTGGACGATGTGGGATCTTACATTATTACAACCTAATTAATATTCGAAAATTACAATTAAATGGCAAGGACTATAATTAATTTTTTATCTTAGACAAGATTTTATTCCAAAATTAATCTTTTTCAAGGATTAGAATAGAATTTTCCGCTTGGAAAAAAAGGCTATGCTTTACAAATATCATTATCTTGTTCACATGTCTTAGATTTCGCTTGGTTTTGTTTTTTTTTTTTCTTTTTCTATTAACTGCCACTTGAATTTAAGGTTAAGCAATAAAAAGTGTTTGATAAATATAAATGATCCTTCTTATTTTAAAAGTAATGACCTCTAGATAAGCAATAAAAAGTGTTTGATAAATATAAATGATCCTTCTTATTTTAAAAGTAATGACCTCTAGATAGCAGTTTATAAAATTTGCTTTCATTAAAAGGCTATGCTTTACAAATATCATTATCTTGTTCACATGTCTTAGATTTCGCTTGGTTTTGTTTTTTTTTTCTTTTTCTATTAACTGCCACTTGAATTTAAGGTTAAGCAATAAAAAGTGTTTGATAAATATAAATGATCCTTCTTATTTTAAAAGTAATGACCTCTAGATAGCAGTTTATAAAATTTGCTTTCATTAAAAGCAAAGTTATGCTTTTAATATTTTTAATTCTTGTAATACCCTTATTAGTTTTTAAATGACATGTTTGTCCTTCTATTCATACTTTTTTCCTTGGGGAACAAAATGACCACCACCACCGCCATCAACATCACCACAACCACTACCACCGCCCCCTACCACCATCGTTCCATTTGCACTCCAACCACCACAACCCATTATTACCACAATACCCCACCACTACCGCTTCCATTACCACTGCTGCTCCCACCATCAATGTTGTCACCACCTGCAACTAGAACCATTAGTCTTACACCACCATTACTACCACCACAACTTCCACCGCCAACAATGCCACTACCATCACTGTTACCGCTGTCACCATTGTTACCTCTACACGCCAACTACCAG